CTCCCCACATAGCACACAAAAATTAGTAGGGGTAGCAACATAATCATATTTAAGACAGTGGCTTTTCTTGCCTTAAGATTGGGAATAGAACAGTATTTAAAATGAGTATGTGTCCTTTGTATTTGCTTTTTGGTTCGTATTTCCCTTATCTACGTAGTGTACCTTTCAGTGTACTCTTTAGAACATTGTTAATTATGAAGTGTCCCATGTTGTTCCCACATTTAACAGCTTCTCCTCTTTGTTCTTCATTTTTGTCTTTGTGGGAAAGGCTTGTTTCTTCTAATGTTAACAGTTTTTATCATTTTTAACCCTAGGATCGGGAATGGTAAAAAATATGATTTTTAGTTTTCTACCAGAATCTGTTGATTAAAAAGCAGCAACTATAAACAGTACAAATAGAACATTGGTAGGCTTGATAGTGAAAGCATGAATGTAGTTGAGTACAAGCAGAGGTCTTGTTCCCAGAGCCGGAAATTTTTAGCCAGCTCTGAGCTTCTGAGCGTATAAGGAAGTAAGGTGGAGTAACACCTTTTTTAAAAAGAAACATTCGGGGCTTCTGGGCAGTTCAGTTGGTTAAGCGTCTGCCTTCGACTCAGGTCATAATCCTGGAGTCCCAGGATCGAGCCCTACATTGGGCTTCCTGCTCAGTGGGGAGTCTACTTCTCCCTCTGACCCTACTCTGCTTGTGTTCTCTCTCTCAAATAAAATCTTAAAAAAAAAAGAAAGAAAGAAATGTTCATCCTGTGCAGTCAGATTTAACATTCCCTGAGGTGAGTGAGTTGGTTTTATTAATACAGTAGAATCATGTGCAAATCAATGGTTTATATATGCCTATTATAAAATACATGATGGGAGCACGTGGGTGGCTCAGTGGGTTAAAGCCTCTGCCTTCGGCTCAGGTCATGATCCCAGAGTCCTGGGATGGAGCCCCACATCGGGCTCTCTGCTCTTTGGGGAGCCTGCTTTCTCCTCTCTCTCTCTGCCTGCCTCTCTGCCTACTTGTGATCTCTCTCTGTCAAATAAATAAATAAAATCTTTAAAAAATAATAATAATAAAATAAAATACACGATGACATGAAGGGCTAGGTCTTTTTTTCCCCTTGAAAACATAAATGTCCATACTGTAAGTAGATGTTACTGTTTGAAACATTGTGTACATAGGTATTCTATGGCAACTCGAATCTGACTTTATATTCTTTAATTAAGCATGTGTGTGATTCATTTGTAATAAGAACTATATAGCTTAGATAATAACTACTTGGGTTGAACATTTATTGAGGGCTTATCAAGAGCAAGATCCTATCTTGATAGCATGTTACTCACAGTCAACGTCCCTTTGTTGGTTTGTCACCCTGACCTCAATGTAAGTGTGACTTCAGAGAGGACTTTCATGAGGCCTCAATCCAAAATCATGCCCTTGTCTCTTCATCACATTACTCTGCTTACTACGACGTTAGTAATGCCTGATACTTTCTTGTGAATTTGTTTGACTTTTGTCAACATCTAACATGGAGACAGTCTTTCCTGTTCCCCCTATCAAATGATGAAAGTTAAACTATTTAGTAACAACTTGACATCCTTTATCCAAGGAAGACAATCCAGGGATTGGGGGAGTACAGTGCCTCACGAGCACTGGAGCACTGATGCCAAGGAATCTGGGGCAAGAGCAAGCTTTATAGCTGGTAGAAGAGGCAACTTGGAAGTGCATGATTGCCAGAGGTATGAGGGTTTCCTCATAAGCCTAGCAGGGCCTACTTCCCAAGGTGAGGTAAGCAAGCTAAAGCTGAGCTGGAGCATTGGGATTGGTATGTGTTGTTTCCTTGACAGGTACTTCCCATAAAGGTTTCAGATTGTGACAGACCAGGCCACTGGGCCATCCTACATTTTGTGGCTCCAAAGCCATCAGTTAACTTTAACACCCCAGATCCTCAGAATGTGCATTTGTGAGAGCAGAGATTTTTCTTATCCACTGCTGAATCCTTGGTTGGTTAATAAATTATTAATAAATCAGTGAATTAAGAATGGGACCCTCTGAATGTTGGAAGAATGTATGCATTAATATTTTAAAATTGAGAGATACCAAAATGCTAACAGGGTTGATACTGGTGATAGAAAACATTTTTATACTTGTTTGGGTTTTAAAGGAGGGAGAAGAAAAAGTGTTCTACAGGAGGCAGAGCTGATTCATTTCCAGGAGTGATAACACCTATCCCTATAAGTGAATGGTCCTGATAGTTCCCATGGTAGAACTGGGGTAAAGAGAGGGAAAGAATACCCTCCCTACTATGAAAAACACCCAAGATTGTCTGAATCCCAGTACTAGGTGTTGTGATTCTACAAATTGAAGGATAAGGAAGAACTTTGTTCTAGAGACAGGGTAGAGACCCATCGACCCATTATGTTCTATTCTATTACTCAGAAAGGTATGCTGCTTACTTGTCACGTGATCTGATGTTTATAATATGATTTCCTTTATGGATTTTATCTTTCTATCAGAGATAAAACACCACTGGCCTCATAGTAGCTATTATTTAATCATATGACTTTCAAATCATTTATTTAAACATTTTAGCCATTAATGTTTTATTTTAGAATGTGACACCTCATCATTTGTCACTTTAATACTGGTAGCTCAAAGATGGAAGTTGACTTAAATGAAATTTAATCAATCAACTGGAAATATGCTTAAATACATGTAAACTAGTTAACTGAAAAGTTGCAGAAAGTCAGATGATATTGGAGACTTAAACATCCCTCGTGCCTTTGAAATGAAACTAGTTTGAGGAACTGTTGACTTTGGCTTGACTCTCAATTTGGCTGAACTTGCAAAGATAATTCTCATTAGTCATTTTATATTGTTCTTGTTCTCTAAATTAACTCCCATTACCCAATCTTCCACACAAGCAAAGAAAGCAGAAATGACCTGGAGTTACAGATTTCCAAATAACCTTTATAAACAGACAGGTATATCAATAAACATGTATGAGTTTCAATGTTCTTGAAATTATTTTTCAGAGAGAAAATGATGTTTAAAATTCTAATTTTGATATTCTTTAATTACACCATTTTATGTATATTAAAGTACCTAGTAATTTAATTGGATAAATTTTTTTTAACATAAATACAAATCTTAGTATGTTTGACATTTAAAATGGCACTAGAGCTCATAGTTATAAGAGATCAAGGGTTCTCTATGTGCAGCCCTTGAAATAAATGACTTGTAACATAGAATTGTATCCCTAGGAATCTTAATCATTTTGTTTTAGATGTAATAAAAATAGCAAAGAGGCTAGATTTGATTCCAAGTCACGCACACAACTCAGTGGGTGTGTGGCATATATTCATTTGATCTTATCTCCTCAGATGTGAAGGACCACTAGATGATTCACAAACTGTATTTTTTTCTTTCTCTAAATGATTATTTTAAATAAGATGATCTACCTTAATCTATTAATGAAAAAAGTTATGAAAGATGTTTGCATTTTTAGAAGTTGTAAAGTTTATGACTTAAAGTTTTTCATTTTATACCTGCAGATATGTCCCCTAATTCCACTTCTGGATGGTTCTCCAATCAAGGCTAAGATTTTTATTCAAATAACTGCATTTATTTTTTTTAAAGATTTTATTTATTTATTTGACAGAGATCACAAGGAGGCAGAGAGGCAGGCAGAGAGAGAGGAGGAAGCAGGCTCCCTGCCGAGCAGAGAGCCTGATGCGGGGCTCGATCCCAGGACCCTGGGATCATGACCTGAGCTGAAGGCAGAGGCTTTAACCCACTGAGCCACCCAGGCGCCCCCAAATAACTGCATTTAATTGCAAAAGCATGTTTGGGTTTTTTCCTCATTGTTCTTCCTTTATAAACAATAGTCAATGCTTACTTTGACTCAGAGTGTCTACCAAAACATCTAAAAAATTCTCATATTAAATATATGGGGAGGTGGGGAATAATGGTGGTGTGTGTTTTCCAACCAACACACAGACTTTCACTTCCATTCTTATTTCTCTTGCCATTCTCTTGTCAGGTTTTCTCTTTTTTCTCCACATACTTTGAAATATTATTTCCTAAACTTCCTGACTTACTGGGATCTTTCCTTGGAGCAAGAAGTTCTCCATCCTCAAATGGGAGAAGAGTCAAGTGCAGGGAAGACGAGTTGGGGCAAACCTTCATGAGCACTGTGGGAGACAAGCAGAATCAATGTTATCCCCATCGTCGTCATGGGGAAAGAAGTAAAATGACTTGGGAAGATCACACTGTGAGCACAGATGAAGCCAGTGAGTGTCTCCTTCTCTTGGTGTGCTTCTATTTCCAATATCCAGCAGTGTCGGCAACAAACATTATCCTCACTTCTTACTAATCATCTACAGTGTAGAGACAGAGATAGCAGGACACTCATTTTATAGATGACTAATAAAAGATTAAGTCATTTTCTAAAGGATATTTAGCAAATGTGGCAACTATTCAGCACTTGAAGTAATTTTCAGCATGTTAAGTAAGACTCTAAAAGATACTCAGCAAATGTGGTAACTCTTAACTTCACCACCAAAACCATCCTCAGATAAAATGTTAATCTATGATGATTTGGTAATTTTTGTGCTATGTAAGTTTTTGTGTGGAATATTCAAATACAGTTCAAAGTTTTGTTATATTTTTTTTCAGTGCTTACTGTCTCCTTAGCAATTTTATT